TCYTTTTGGTGAAGCCTGTCGATCGACACGGGTTTAAATCATTCAAAGATGTTTGATTTCCGGTTTGTTTTGAGTTGGGCCGGTTTGGGGGACTTATATATACTTGGAGAAGGCGTTTCCTCCTAGGTTTAGCCGCATCCTTTTGTTTAGAATCAGAGAAAAGAGAGAGTTGAGAGAACTAGGGTTTTCCTCTTGAGTGTTGAGAAGATTTCGTCGGTTTTGGAGGAGGCAGACGGCTGGGTAGTTCAGAACGGATCGGTGGGAAACTTTGGGGGTAAGTTCTCCTTTCTTTCCTCTTGCCGTAGGCGAAAACCGCGTGTGTTTTGGTTGAGTTTTCGCTGAGTTATGGCCATTTGTTTGTGTGAGGGTTCTGCAGTCTCGAGTCTGCGATCAGTCCACTTCGAGGGAGGTTTCCCGTCGAACCAGAGAGAATCAGGAGACGTTTCAGATACCGTTGGAAAGCTCTCTCTGTTTAGTTTTTAGATCAGGTTTCGGATCCTGATTCGGAGGTAAACTCCGTTCTCTGTATTCGTTTGTTTTCAGGGTGTCGGTTCTGAATCTCTGTTTTTGCCAGTTTCGAATAGCGAGATTGCGGGCTGTTTTTCCGTCGATCCTGTAGGAGTTAGGGGACGTTCTATACACCGTTGGAAAGCTCTCAGTGTCTAGTTTCCAGAACAGGTCTCAGACTTGGTTTTGGTGGAGGGAGTCGCGAGATATTCTTCTCTGTTTGTGTCGGGTTCCTTAGTCTTCATTCAATCCGTTTGCAAAGGTGAGTGCGCGACCATAGGCTCTCGGATATAGGATTGTGTATGATGCGATTGTTTGCTGTGTGAATTTGGTGCTTTGAGTGGTTGATTGTGCAGGTGATCGATTAAGGTTCATGGAGATTCGGCCATGAGAGGATAGGCGATCTCCATCGAACAGAAGGTGTCCTGTCGATCGACAGGATTGCTTCCTGTCGATCGACACGAGGTCATCTGTGTCGCGCGACACCGAGGTGGTGTGTCGAGCGACACGCAGGCC